AGGCCAGGCAGCATCAGAGGAGCAGCAAAGCTGACGTTTTGGGTCGGTCCTCTGATACTGCCTGGCCTGCTGTGTTCCTCCAGCTCCACACTGTGTTATCTCTGACTCCTGCACCAGCAGTTCTTACTATCTCTGAATGAGTTATAACTCCACTGCGAAGCCTCTTCCAAGGATGCCCACCTTAAAGAAGTTATCCTCCTCCCTCCAGAAAGACCTCAGTGGATCTCTCTCCCACTGCAACCCTCTGGTAATCTCTTCGGCCCTGAAACTGCTCGGCCACACACTGAAGCAAACCAGGTACTACAGCCACATTGCCTTTCTCAGTACCTGCCTATGGAACTGGATCATCCCAAATGGACTGCAATCTACATTCAGGCCATCCCAATTTGGCCCTGACCGCAACAACCGCTACACACACAACATTCAAATCCTCCCATAATGTTTGCTGTATCATGTTTCTTGTTTTTATACGAAGTGAATCAAATGGGCTGTAGAATGACCTCCATGATGCTGAAGACCTCAAGGGGAGGCTGAGGTATATCACCCATTCTGCATTTTCATAAAATTGAATGAGAATACAGAGATTGGGTGAACATTTAAAAAGTTCTTAACGCCTAAGTAACATTATGAGTTTACATTCTATCTATCAAAGTGGATAATCTCATATTTCCCCATATTGTAATCTATCTGCCTTCCTCTTGCCCACTTATGTAACCCTCATATCTCTTTGAAGCCTCTTTGCATCCTCCTTACAGCCTACTTGCTATTCTTGTATAAGGAAACTCAGATACTCTTGGCCTTTTATCTGAGACATTATTGTAAATTACTGAAGCCCAGTACTAATCCATGTTCCACCTGACTATTTACTGCCTGCCAACTGGAAAATATCCTTTGTTACCCTAAGAGAGCAACTAGTTCCACAGCAATAGGCTCAACAACACAACACATGGCCTCACACATTCTACCCTAAGGAAATTTGAAGTCATCCAAAACTCTGCTGCCCATGTGTTAACTTGCACCAAGTTCTGTTTCCCAATCATCCCTGTGCTCACTGACTTACATTAGCTCTCAATCAATAAAATGTCAATTTTAAATTTCTCATCCTTGTCTTCAAACCCCTCCATATCCTCACCCCCTCCCTATTTCTGATTCTCCATTTCCACAATCCCTGAAGATATCTGCACCCCTTTAATCCTGGCATCTTGAACATTTCCAATTTTAATGGATCTATTTTGGTGTCCGTGCCTTCAGTTGTCTAGACCTGAAGTCTGCAATAACTAACCTTTCTCCACCTCACTTTCATCCTTTAAGGTTTACCTTAAAACCTACCAAAAATCTCCAAATACAGCATGATGTCATACTACGTTTTAAAACTGACCTTGTATAATGTTAAAAGCGCTATATAAATGCAAGCTGTTGTTGACCTGTAGCTGTAAGATTTAATGGGTTGGCGAACTAGTGGGTTACTCCAACTTCACAATTATCAGTGTTTTTCCATCTGGTCTATCCTGTCAATGGGATGCTGACCATAGAATCTGGGAAGTGTACAATTCATGTAAGGATGTTGCTTTACTTTTCTTTGGAACAGTTGCCCATCTGCACCCACATATGAATGTAGATGATTTTAGTGTCGACCGGCCTGCAGTTCTCTACGTTTTGTCCCAATTCAATACCTGGGTGATTGCCAATTAAGTGCTTCGTCCCACTTTTAGCTTGTTCAAGATTGTTCATAACACAGTAGCTTGCTCTAGGTTTTCAGAAGGCGGGTTATTGCCGCGAAGGATAGGACTGGAGTCACGTAGATCAATCTTCAATATGAATTTCCATGAAATGTGCATTCAATGAAACATTTGATGAATACGTTTCATGAAATTTCGACAAGTACCGCGTTAACTCGTCACTTTCCACTCACTAGCTGTATAACGCAGGTTTCTCAATTGAAATGCAACATAATAAAGAGCAAGTAACAAATTTATTACATACTATTCTTTAGTTCCTAGTTTAGAAGGCTGGAATTCATCACTGGACAGGAACTGACTCTGAGAAGGAGCATCCTTTTGCCTTTCACAGCCATGTGGATTCCCAGCATCTTCCATCGCATCGCTGCTGACCCAGGAAGTCCAGCTTATCAAGGCAGAAAAGTGCCTGCGTTAAGCACTAAGTGTGACTGACCAGGCGGACGCCATGTTTATGACTGGCAAAATTTACGCCTTCGCCTCCTCCTTTCTCTGACCGATCAGCTGGTGTCGTGTGATTTCTGACCTTGTCCACCTCAGTCCAACACTGGCACCTCCACATCATCACTCCTATGAAACGTTAGAAGTTTGTGTTTCGATCGTTAATCAAGCACGTATAACACAGAACCAACAAAATGACAGATCGAACTGTGCCAACACCTAAACACAAAGCAACATCTATTCTGCTTATTAAACCATATATTGATGTAAACTTGAAGCAGGGAGGCAACTTTAATTTTGCACTGTCAATAGATGCCCGAGAGTTGTTGGAGAAGATGATGGGAATTCAGTTTCCTTAGATAAATGCTGTCCTTCAGTGGAGATGGTCTCACATTCCCCGTCATTTCCTTTACTTAGTTCATTCTCGACACATGACTGTCATTTCTGGCCAGTTTGCCCATCTCAACACACACTTGAAAAGATGATTTGAGCCACCTTTATCACCACAGCTTGTTAGACCACAGCAAAAGGCAGTTGCATTGTGGGTTTGGAGTCACATTCAGGCTAAACTAGATTAGAATGAGAGATTTCCTCAGTGAACTTGATATATATTATAATGACAATCCATAGTTTCATGATCACCACTACAGACATTAACTTTTTTGATTCCAGATATATTGATTAATTGACTTTGAATTCTCCAGCTGCCGTAGTCAGATTTAATTCTGGTTCATTGGACCAGATCTGTGGATTACTAATCCAGCAACAGAACTGCGCCATTATTTGGCATTGGTTGAATATGTACACAAATTTGCAACATGCATGTATCAACATCATCCAATTATTTTATTTACATACTGGAGTTCCACAAGATAAGCAAAATATACTCTTAAGAACTTTCAAGTTTGAACATCAATCTTCTAAAAGTCATATCACCATCTAAAATCCCCAAAAAACGCTAAAGGAAATACCCTCAGAGATAGTACGAACGGCAGATGCTGGAGAATCTGAGGTAACAAGGTGTAGAGATGGATGAACACAGCAGGCCAAGTAGCATCAGAGCCTTCCTGCTCCTCTGATGCTGCTTGGTCTGCTGTGTTCATCCAGCTCTACACCTTGTTATCTCTTAAAGGAAATACCCTCATTGGACTGCAAAGATATTCGGGACACATTAATTAAATAGTCCTAGGAATAAAAATATAATGTTTCATTCAAGTTCAAAATTATATTCACATCTTGTTCAAATGTGAGAATACATGCATAACTAACAACTGGCCCCATTTGCTTTTAATACAGACTTCTGATCCCAATCTGTGACTTGCATCTTTGGCTAAACCGGAACGGAGCAATGTCTAACATTCACAGCAAGTAATAGCATCTAGAACTGCAAATTCGAGGAACAGTCGAGAGATTTATAATCAGATCATACATTGGACAAGCTAATCACTGGTGTCATTGTTTATTTACTTGGTTTTTCGCAGCTGTAGTTCAAAGGGCACTGCTCATAGTGAGAGCCAGGCCCTGAGTTTACATAAAGGGCAATGGGACAGCGGGGCGGAAATGAGGAGGCTCTGGGGGCGGAAGGTGTCCACCTTCAGGGCGGTCTGTGCGTCGACCGGAAGTGCCCGCACCGCGGTGGGGTGTGGGTGGGAAGGTTGTAAAAAAGATGGCTGCCTCCGTCTCGGGCTACACTTTCAGTTCTTTAGTTTATCATCACGCTAACAGCCCCTCGGACCATGTAGGTAACAGCGCTGTCGCCGTTTCCCCGGTTTCCCCGGAGCACAGATACCGGCAGCTCGTTGGGAGCGGGTGTTTTCGGGCCTCTGAAGAGAAAGGCCGAGTCGGCGGCTCTTGTCGCCCGGACCCCGGCCTTTGCTCGCAGGAGGGATTGGGGTTTGTTTAATACGACGGTCCTTGAGCTTGCAGAGTCTGAGAGCCTGGGTATTGTGATTGGCCCGGGTCAGGACTGCCAGCGATAGCTGTCCTACCCTCCCCATGCCCCAAACGCCGCCGCGATAAGGTCACCGCGGTAACCGGTGATTGAACCATGCGTTTTGCAGCCGGGTTCTGGGCTATGAGTCTGATCTGGGACTCATCGCTTTGTAGCCTTGACGCGTATGCAATCCTCTTCAGTGGGTTTTTCTCTATTCTGTTTTCTCCAGGGTTGTTCTTTTCCGTTAAAATGTATTTCTCCAAGGGTTTTCTTCAACGAAAGTGACAAATGGGTGTGAAGTTTTATGAGTGATAAACGCGTCTTGACGAGGTTTACCTTTGTAGAACTTTAATTGCTTTTGCTGTCAGTTTGTTTTAATCGATTGGACCCTGTTTTCTTGATTCAGAACGAAAGTTGTTGTAATTACTCAGCGGGTCTGGCAGCTTGTGTGAAGAGAGGAACAGAATTCATGTTTCGTCAGAACTTCATTTTCTTGATGTATAAATTGTTGGTGTAGAATTGTCTCCGTAAAACTATAAAGTCGTGTAGAATTTATCAGTTGGAAAGATAATATTTGAGTCTCAAGTATTTCTAATGATCAAATCTGATAGTAAAATGTTCACAAGCGAACTATACTTACCTAGTTGTTAGAAATCACCTTGATCAAACAATTCAGCTAACTGTGTTTTTACAGGACTGTCGTTAGTCATTTTATTCTCATGTTTATCTGCTGTAAAAGTTGGGATCAGGAAAGTACGTGGTTGAAAGCACTGGGTTTTTTTTTTACTGCCCTTATTTCTCTAGTTTATAAAGTTTTTTTATTTTGGAGCTTTGCATTTTGTTTTCATTGTTCTAATTTAACTAAGTTCTCCACTGCAGGAAGGATTTCTTTTGGGAGATGTGAAACAACTCGAGACTTTCAGTATTAGTGATTCACAAATCAGCAACACAGAGCTTCTGCAAGTAATAGGTAAGTCTGCTAATCTTGTACATGGGTCATGTCAAATTGGTAGTAAGAGGTTTGGAATACAATCTGGTCCGTGCTGAAAGTTATGGATTTTGGGATTTTTATTTCTGTTGATTTGATATTACTGGTATAATTTTTAAATGAAAATAATCAGAACAAGTAATGCTTAGCAGGCAGCTTCTGATGAAAAGGTGGAGAGTGGTTCTGTTTCAATTTCAGCTTCTGTCCAGGCTTCCTGAAAAATTATAACCCAAGTGTCACTACTCATGATGCATTACATTGAACTTTTAAAAATTGGAAGGAGAACAGCGAAGTATTAAAATGTGAAAAAAAGTGCAAGTAAACACATTTGGCTTTAGCAGTGTATTAATTTTCCTTTGCAACAAAGTAGTTCATGTTTGTATAGAATATACTGGAAGTAAATGTGATGCTTAAAATGTTAACTTTGAAACAATTGTATCTTGACTGAGGAGTAATACTTGTAATGTTTGGCCAAGAATAAGTGAACTGAATCTATCTGAATGGTATCATTTTTCCATGGATGCTGTGGGATGTCACAGATTAAGATGTGCTTTAGAAGGTGACATTATTGCAGGGCTTTTGTTGTAAATGTACTTTTTAATATTGATACACCCTAATAAATCTCAAATAATCTTTTGGGGTTAGTATTTCTGATCTATGGGTGCTATCAATCTATTTGCAAAAATATCACTTTTTTGTTTGCTTTATCAAAGTGATCAAATCAGTTGTAGCACACAACCACACATGTAGAATTGTCAGTATGTGAGCTGCAGTCAAGGTGTTTGTTTCTCCTTTGCTTGGTTCTTTTTAAAACTAGAGTTAGCATCTGTGGTGATTATAAGGCTGTTTGATTCCTCGTATGGGGTGTCAATCTCATGGTATATCTTATTTAAGTTTGATCTAGTTTAATACAATATGCAAAGTGCAGTCCTGCACCTGTTGAGCTTCCGGGTGCAAAATCTGTGGGAAACCTAAAGTGAAGTATGTGCCATGAATGCTCATGACCAATTTTCACAAACCTTGAAAGGAATGTTAGAGGTTGCAGAAGAAACATTGGGGAAAGTTTATTTTTCATGCCCCTCCATTGTGGCTTAATAGACTTTGATTAATAAGTTGTGACCGATTCAAGTAAAAACAAATAAGCACCTTGAAGTGTTTTCTGCAGTTAATGCTTTCTAACATTGATTTAAAGGCAAACATTGTGCTGTAGAATGGCTGTTTTTGCATGAGGAATTTGGGAAAGTGTTGAATTTATTTACTGAAATTTTATTAAAATAAAATTTATGCATAGAAGTTTTGTTCAGAAAGCACCAAGTTGTAATATGGTTTAAGATACTAATGACCTAGCCATTACGTTGTTTCCACAGTGACTGAGACCAATAAGAATTTGTGTAATTGACATGTCTTGCATTCATTGTGTTGAATATCGCTGGTTGCAGGTGCTTGACTGGTTTGTTTCAACATTAAATCCTCCCCTGTGGCTGTGAACACTGAGCCTAAAAATAGGGAAATAAACATCCACAGACCAGTTTTAAGCAGACATTGTTAGGCAGGTTTTAACCAGACTCATTTGAATAGAATGCTAGAGAACATTTTAAGGTTACTTTATATTGAACAAGGTGACCCAATGTAAGGAAGCATATTTATTATTATGCAAAGATAAGCTCTCATTTAATTGAATTGCATGATAGTGCAGAGAAAAACAAAGTCTGTTTTTTGTTGGCCCGGTCTTGGTTATTTTGGTCAGCCTAAGATAAAATTGAAGAGTTGCACACGTAAAGGATGTAAATATTCAGATCGAAATGAATCCAATTATTGTATTCTTGTGTAACACTAGTGTATAATTAAATATTAGGCAGTATGTAACAGTGAGGTGTTTGGCTCGCTAATGGAAGTAACCAATACGATTGCACTCAAGAAAATACCTGAGGCAAAATTCAAATTCGTAATGGGAAATATGGTCCCAAGTTGCTTGTGTTTGACAAATGCACTGAAGAGTTCAACAATGAACTGGCTTTATAGAAATTGAAACAGTATAACGGGTTATTAAAGATAGCTTTGATCGTATTAAAATTCACCAT